TGCCAGCGGGGCCCCCGAAGGCCGGGTCAGCATAATACAACCGACTCTTTCGAAGTTTACGTGCAAAAAAACTATTTGTGGATGAATCTGGCAACAAAAGACTCAATGAAATGGAAGGGAAGACCCGATGTCCACCCACCTGACAGTAGCGATTGGTTGCTAGTACAGAATTGCAGTAGCTGCAGCTGTCTTTAATGATGCGATAGCATCGCGGAGGTAGTTGTAGTATGGTCTGAGTGTTCGTTGGTCCTGTTAACCAGGTCAGAGCGCTGCGAGACACAACAGACCGGCTCTCCTCGCTACGAAGGGGTTCAGCACTACCATTCAATTTGGAGCGGCTTTAGGATAGAAGGGTCTACCCCCCCGACAGGCACCCTGGCATCCCAACCCCTCATGCAGGAGTTGGTGGTATGGCCGCCAGAGATACAATCGAGTGCCCCCCCTGTCGGTTACGGGGACGTCGCCCTCGAGTTTCCTGAATCAGTTTATTCGTCCCTATTGCCGTGTTGTCTGTCCGTCTACATCCGCTGTTCTCTCTTACCTGGCTTCATTCAGTCTTTCTGTCCTATGCATGTCTACCCAATTCTGCGGCTCTGCTTAACACCTCCGTTTTCGCTCAATCATTTCTTCCTGCCTTTGTTCCTGCATTGGTGCTATGTGCTACCGAGACTAGGTTTCTGCAAGGGTGAGGTGGGCAGAACGACTTTCTAGTAAAAAGTCAATGCAAATAAAATACAACTTACTGCTGCTGCAGTCAAAAAGGGGTGCAAACCACAAGCAGTAATGCACAACTACTGTTGGCACCAGCGCCGCAGCTACAAGGAGCACAGAAGGCACGGCTAGTACACAATAGGAGGCCATGTTGGTCTAAATGTGGCTGCTGCGGCTGCAACGCAGTTCACAGGTTGTCGCTTGTCTGCCTATGAATAGCATGCTGTTTCAAAATTCCGGGAAGCATCGCTTCAGCCTTGCCTCTGTGCAGCACCACTTGCAGTTTCTCCTCCAGCACAAACGTAACAAATTCATTCGGATGCTTCACCTTCTGGTCCGGCTGCTGCTGCTGCTCATTATGCCCCAGCTGGTGCCGTAGCGTCTTGATCCCCAAGAGCTGCGCCAAGTGACGAAGGTTCGTCACCTTCACGCCGTCTACAGTGGAGAGTAGGCAGTTACGCACGCTGTAGCCGCTGGTCAGGTCTGATGCCAAGATCTGCAACAGCAGAAGCACATAGATGGGGTTGTTGCTCCCAGCTCGCAGAAGGTCAAAACCGCCGGCTAATTGGCTGAGGTATGTACGCTGAAACGTAAAAGAACAAGTTGAAACACTGACCTGCGCCAGCACTATGGGCTCCTCTCCCTCCACTGTGGCAAAAACCTCTGTTAG